ATACAAAAAATACATCTGGTAAATTAGCACATTGATATAAAGACATGGAACACATGTTGAGAAACTACCCATTGGTAGCACTCTAATAATATGTCTATATTAGAAGATCACGTGGCCATCTTCTTTTCAGACGCCTCGGAGAGTTATCAGGAATCGAATAGGAAGCAGGGCTAGAGACAAGAGGGTTGGGATGGTTATGAAGTTTATTATGGAAAGACAGATATCTGGATTGGACCAAATCTGATACATAAGGAACATTAAGGTCATTATGGATAATTTTATTTGTAACAAAGTAAAGAGCATTGAGGATTTTACGAAGGATTTTGGATTGCAAGGATTGTATGCAAGAGGAATTTGAAGGTTTGGTGGAGCCCCATAGCTCAACTCCATAAGTCCAAATAGGCCTTATTATAGTCATGTAAGTCTTTTATAATTGATTGGAAGGTTAGAGCGTTTGTCTAGTAAGTGTTGAAGTAGTCGGAAACGTCGAGCTGTTTCTTGTAGTTTCAGTCTGGTATGAGGATTCCAAGTTAGACATTTGTCCAGATGGAGTTCTGGGTAACGGATTTATTCAACAGGAATAAGTGAGGTGTTGTTAAAGGATACTGTAGGACAGGAAGTTATTGGTTTACGACTAATGGTGAAGGTAATTTGATGGGATTTATTTTAATTCTTCAGTTCTGACACCATCATTATAGCATTAAAAAAAAAACAATAAGCAATACTAATATAATGTATAATGGAATTAATGGTTACATATAAAACTGTTAAGTATTTCCATAAATCTTGACTGATAAAAAAAAATTATAATAATATTTTATAAAAATATGAATTAATTAACAGAAAAAATACCCTCTAAGAGTTCTATTGCATATCTACATATGTAAAAAGATTTTTCAAATAAATAGGTAACTTTTGCCCTTAATTGTTACTGTTTTTCAATTAAAAAAACAACAATAATTTAAGAACTTTGTTAAAAGAATATAAAGTGAGCACATTTTTTTTATTTTCTCCTCGGAGGAAACTACAAGGAAAACTTCCATTGTCTATTTAAGAATATGGTTCCAAGTAAGTCCGAAGTTTGGTGTCCACACCTTCGGCCATGAAAAATGATAAGGCTGGAATATGGTGTCGTACAATAGCCAACGTGACCCCAAGATTATACGGGACTAAAACCAACAACAACAGGATATTTTGTGTGATACAACCCTGTATGGGATGTCATTCCAGGAAAGAAATATTCAATGAATATAATAAATTTCATAGAAATAAAACAAAATGGTGATAAATATGCAACTTAATAATTTTATTTTTTCTGTATAATTTATTTTTATTTATTGTACATAGAGGATGAATATGATCTCTGAACACCTTTGAGACAGATTGTAATATTTTTCAATAAACAAGTCATAAAATATATGAAAAAAAAATTAATTTCCTATCAATACAAATAATAAAATAAAAAATAATATTTGAGACTTCAGAGATTAGACAGAAAACTACAAATAAAAAACAAAATAAAAAAAGCCACATAAATGGATCTTTTAATCGAAAAAGTATTATTTTCTATTTTTTAACTATTTAAAGTAATAACAATTTAAAAATGATTTCTGGAGGTCAAATTAATACCCAAAATAAGAAATGGCAATCATTTATAAAATATAAATTTATAAATCTGAAAATATCAATGCTATTGAAAATTATTTTGCCAAACAATTATTCATTTTTGAAATGTTTTAAAACCTGCTTTAAGTAATTTCAGTAAGTAAATGGATTTGAGGGTGAACAATTCTCAGAGATTTTTCCTTGTTGGTATATCACGATCAAAGAGATACAGCTTCAATTTTTTTCCTTGCATAGTGTTGCCTGACATGTGAGTTGTGAGAGTTCTTTTTATAAGTTTGCAATTTTTATATACTATTTTAAAAAAATATATTTTTCAATAATTCTTCAGTATTTTACAATAATTTGGTTGAGTATCTAAGCAAAATTAGGTAGTGAAGTATTCCATGCCAGTTGAAAGAATTAGAACTGCATCCTCGTGTTTAAAAAAAAAATCATTGAATAAACTTTTCCATCATCATAGTAAAAAAAAAAAAGGTGAAATAAAATGAAAAATGTATAAGGAATTATTATTATTTTTATATAAAAAAAAAAAGAAGAAAAAGAAAACCTGTATTACTACAACCCATTAAGGATCTTGGGTTCAGTACTATTTAGGAAAAGCACTGTTTCTTGGTCTACGGTTGTGCAAGGAGGTGATTTGACCGAGATTACCCTTAACCATTAGGTTTTCCCCTTAATTAATTATTTTACTAGAGGATTTATAGATGATGGGTGTGCCCAATGAGGGTCTAACTACCCAGGGTCGTCCCACGGCCAATGAAACAGAATAAATAATTTTTCTGCGATGAGCCAGGATTCGAACCTAGGACCTTTAGCATTGGAAGATCAGTACCCTGCCACTGAGCTACCCAACTCCCTTTTTTTTTTATATAACCTATAAAAATTTATAAATATATTTGTTTTTATTAATAATTATAAACTTTACTTTATAGACGACAACTGAAAGCTACAATTTAATTTTAATTTCTTGCCAACGTTATTAGTAAATTATGATGATTTTTTATTTATATGATCATCATAACCTACTAATAATGTTGGCAAGAAATGAAAATCAAATTGTTGCTTTCAGTTGACGTTACTTTACTATGAAGTAAAGTTTATAATTATTAATAAAAACAATTATATATATATATATATATATATATATATATATATATATATATATATATATATATATATATATATATATATATATATATATACGTTTAATTTCTAAATAAATGTAAATATATAGTTTCTTGATTGTTCAAACATTGTTTAGTACTACTGATGATTAATCTAAAAAAAAAAAAAATCAGTAAAAGTAAAATATTTGAAATAAATGGATTTTTGATATTGTTGCTATGTAAACCGAATGATCATTGGATTGCCTTTAAGTCTCTATCATTTTTCATAATACAAAAATTAACAATATTTTTTTTAATTCGGCCATAAACTGAACAAAACTTCTATTTTTCGGATTTAAATGCTATAAATAATTTTAAATTATGAAATCTTTGCATTTCTTTTTAATACTAAATTTTTCAAAAAAACTAATATATATTTATAATAGTAAATTTATCTAATATCTAATAATATAGGAATAAGAACACTAAAAATATAAGTTGTTCTAAGTCCACAAGAGATTTACCATAGTTTTTAAAAAATGTAGGAAACATTAAAATTGTCTTTCTCCCTCCCAAAATGTTGTGTCCTGCTTACTTTAAATAATTTAGTTTTTAATTTATTTTTTCCTATCAGGAAAACTCTTTTTAATAAAATAGATAGGACACTTTGAGGATTGAATAAAATATATCAATACTGACTATGAAGTTCGACGTATTTATTTATAAAAGATTATTATGGGTCGTTTCGATGCTAAATAAAAATATATTTATACTTATTAATTTTTAATTAATTATTCACTATTTTATAACTTCGTAAGTCTGAAAGCATCTTGTAAATAATAAAAAATAATATTAGGATTCGGAGAATGAAGGTTTATTTTAAGCAAATTTTCAAGAAATTTCATCCTCTTTGTGGTATTAAGTATTTAAACTTTAAATTTGTAGAAGGATTCTTGAAAGCAAAACAGGGATTTTTTTCCTTTGTGTATGTATCCATAATGGGTCTGTATAAACCTTTTTGAAGAAAGTAATTTTTTTTTTTGATGATTTATATTTAAAAAAAGATTGTTCAGTAAACTCAACGTACATTAACATACATATGATGAATATTTAATCGTACTTAATGTTATAAAAAGTAATAAGTATTTTTTTTTTTTTTTATGAAATGCTTCTAAAGTTCATATGATGTATTAAAAAAAAAAAAATGGAGAGAAAATATATTGACATGTTTCAAAATTATATGGCATTATAATGTACTTTCAATTTAAGTAATAATTCTAGAGTTAACTGTGGCTATTTTTTTTTTGTATGTCCAAAATAAATAAACAAAAAAGAAATATAATTTTGTGGTTAATTTTTTTTTTTTACATCGTTATATTTCATAATAAATTGTTAAAAATAAAAATTAAGAGAAAAACTTTTTTTTTTAAATTAGGATTTGAAAAGAAAGAAAGAAGTAGTCAAATATTAAAATAGGGTGTTTGATAATTAAATTGATTAATTTTACGGATCTAATAGGAAATCGAAGGAATGTCGATAGGGGGAGGCAAATTTTCAATTTATTCTGAAATTCTTTTAAAGATATGAATAAGATAAACAAAGCAATGGAGTAAGTTTAATAATAATAAAAAAAAAAAGAATAAGCAAACCTATTGGAAAAAAAAATATATATATACATATGTAAATCATGTTTTTGATTGTCTAATGTATTAATTATTTTATGTATATAAGTATAAAAAAAATATCGTTATGTAAATTATTATCGCCTTAGAAGTGTAAAAAAAATAAATAAATTGATTATTTTTTACGAATTTAATTGGAAATCGAAGAAATGTCCTACGCAGGAAGCAAACTTTTTAATTTATTCATTTATTCTGAATTCGTTTAAAATATATGAATAAGATAAAAAAATTAAAAAATGTTGGAAATCCAAGATGATCAAAAATAAGGTAAATATAAAATAGACCAATTGAAAAATATTTATGTAACAAAATTTTATAGCATATTCATTTTTTTTTAAGTAAATGATGTTTGTAAATCATAATAATTTCTCAAATTCGATGTCACCGAAAAAAAGTATTTATTCTTATTTAAATCATTATACTTCGATTTTGTTCAGTCGCTTAGCTTTGCTCATTTTATTTATTATTATTTCAGCTACATTTGCTGGATTATTTTCTCTTATAAATTTATAAATAATTAATATTATACATATATAATTCGTTTATATATTATCGTTTATTGTATAACAGCTGCGAGCCAAAGTACCTGAAATAACGAGCGATCTCAAGAACGAAGGAGTGGCTGCGTGTCCCTGCGGATCCGGCGACCGACTGAACTCCGGCAACCCCCACCCTGTGTGTGTACCCTCTGATATCTGGTATCTCGTATCTGTATCTAGCCGCTAGGGGTAGTATCTCGAGGAATCTATAACCATCCACCCATCTACACTATAAGAGTCGTTTAATTCCTGACCTAATGGATATCCTATCCATTAAAAAAATCGTAAACATTGAAACAATCAGATTGTTTTAAAGACGAATAATTAAGATAGGAATTTTCCTTAACCCTTCGGAAATCATCTAAAACTAATGAGAAAATATTTTATTATTTCTGACCTAGTATCGTAATAAATAATAGTTTTTTTTCCAAAATAATTACTTAAAATGTAATAGACCAAAATCTATTATTTTGTACAGAAAAGAATAAAGTCTCTCATTTTTCTTAGTATTAACCCTCTATATAACCGATTACGTTTGAGGGATTATTCTTTTATAAGACTGTGAGTACTTTATTTCTTTTTCTAACAAAAACGTCCTTTTTATGTTCTGTAGCATCTCACAAGGAAACAATCTAGTCTTTAACCTATGACTTTTTTTTTCAACTATATTCTTCAATATATTCCACTTATATATGTTTAACGAATTCACTATCTTGGACTCCACTATCTTGGACAAATCTCTTACTTGGAATTCGCTTACAAGAAACTGCTCTTCGTTTCCGGTTACTTCATCACTTACTGGACAAACACTTCAAGCTTTCAATTAATTAAATAAGGCTTATTGAAATGACTCTAATAAGGTCTATATGGACATTGGGAGATAAGTTTTAGGACTCCCCCAAACCACCGAATTCCTGCCATATCCAATCCCTAAAATCCAAAATAATCCGCAAAAAATTGTCGCTGATTGGACCCGATCCAGATACTTAACCTTTCATGATAAATTCCGGACCTATCCAAACTCTCTCGTTGAGATAGCTTTTCTTCCTCCACGAATCCTGATGATCCTTCTAAGCGTCTGAAAAAGATGTCTAGGAGCCTGTTTACTTAAAACTATTTAGCGAGTGCTACGATTTATAAGGTAAGATTTCGACAAGTTTGTTCATGCCGCAATTTTTTATTTTTACATTTACTAGTTATACTTGTTGAATACAGTTATAAGTTTCAAATAAAAAAAGATTTTGTTTTTATAAAATATTAGGCCAAAGGTCACCAAATGTACACAGTTTTTACATCTTTATTCGACGTTTCGGCTCCGGGAGCCATTTTCAAAATCCTGCAAACTAATTTTAATTCAGTTGCTACACTTCAAACTACATCACTATAAAACATATATTAATTCAATAACAATCAGTTATATAAATAGTACAAATTCTACTTATAAATTTTATATATATATATATATATATATATATATATATATATATATATATATATATATATATAACATAGGATTTTGGTTAAATTAAAGTAAAATTTATCATCGACCTACCTTGCACCGCTTCATAAAATTTCCTAAAATGTATCATTATAATATTATTCGTCGCTTTGCCGGTCTTTTCTTCACTTCTAAAATTATTATAAATAATTAAAATGGAATGTTAAGTTTTTAAGAAAAGAAAACAAAAACAATAATAATATTATTTGTTCTCAATTTATGTATCTCTTTCGTAGACGATATTATAAGTGTTCCTCATCACTAATGCATTCATCCGGTTAGGAATCCGCTGTTTTATCTGTGATTTTTCACTATATTATATTTTAATTTTATCTATTGCTCTAAGATTATCTACACCTGTTTGTTGATTTACCGATTTTTGGAGATTTTTAGTAATAAATATTGATTCTATTATTCTTCGATTGTTAATATCCTATTCTCTATGTAAGACCGACGCTGTACCGAAATCAAATTTATGTCCATTTTTTGTGGCATGCTGCTATAATCCTGTCGCTAATCCTCTTTAAACACCTACTCCATTCTCAATCCGCCTGATTACGAAATATACCTAAGAGAGCTATCTAAGTAGCTCCAGAAAATATTTTTGTTATTTTAGTTTTCTCTGTTTATATTTATGTATGCTTAATATGTATGTATATGTACGCTTTTCATGTCCTTTTCTCTCTCTTCGTCTGTGTTTTTACTTTTAAATAAACAATATTGTAAATATTTACTCTATTTATGACAACTAATTCAGTACTTCATCCTCTTTATAACGAGCAGTTATTCATAATTTACAATTCATATTGTAAATCTCGCCTTGAGGATGTTTCATTTCAATCATGTAGTAGTCTAAAGCACACATCTTAAATATTTGTTCAGATATATGGGTGGGACACTTCTAAAAGATTGAAATTTTATTGATCCAAATTTGGTAAAAAATGAATTTTCAGACATTGGTAATAAAAACGATTCAATGTTTTGGTAGAATGGAAAAGTAAGCAACACATTGACAGACATTTATTTAGAGTAGTGAAATGTATTTTGATTTTAAAAAATAGTTTCATATCATTTATTTTATTTTACAACAATAAACGTGCATTAATTTTCGGACAACCCAATAATATAGCCTATAATAGAATGTGTTTATTAAATTGTAAATGATATTTTATACTTTTTATTAACAATTAACTATAATTATTGAAAGGACTTCAGATTACCTCACACAAACTTGTCGGGAAAATTTCATCGGGTTGGGGTACACTAACGTATTTCATTTCGGATACAATAAATCTTATTTTTTAATAATTATTTATTTAATAATTATTTTATAGGGCTTCGACATTTTACTTAGAATTTTGAGATGATATGGTGCTGGACACAAGTTCTTGTGGGAAATTCTTAGAACTTCTGGGAATTCATGACATTGTTTCTAACGGCAGTGAGCAAACACTACGCTATATTCCAGACAGTTATTAATATATATTTTCTAAGGATCTTGGGGTTCATTCTATAAAAAGAAAACACTGTATTTTTCCGATGTTTCAATAATCCATTGTCCTCATATTCTTGCCTCACAGTTAACTGAAGAAAACTGGTAAATTAATTTTTTTTTTCCTCCAAAAAATAATTATGAATCTCTATAATTTTAAGCTATACTAAATGACTTTAAAAGATACCAAAGCCAGTTCGCTCATGTAAAACCTAAACCCATGTACGATATCTCAGACTATACTTGGGCAAAAAATTCACACCAATTTAAAATAACAAGAATTGACCAAATGATACAAACAACTGTCCCATCTTTTAGACTAAAGATCTCCTCTCAATTTACGAAATAAGCGACTAATGTTTAAACGGAGCAGAACTTCGGTTTTCCGTAAAACACGACAACACAAACAATATACAAACTGCACAGTAAAAAATACCTCTAAAAATCGTAAATGTATGCTGGTATATTTCAAATCAAGCCAATAACAGCGACATGAACATTCCAACAGTAAAAACCTACATGCATATCAAATACACTACATTCCACTCTTCAATTATTAATCATCATAATCAGCTGGATCCTAATTATCCTAATCCTAATCCGCTCTCTTTATCATTCTCTTTCTTTCCAGGAGAACCTCAAAGAAGACTAAAGAGACAGTTGCCTCGGATTCTGCTCACAATATGAACAAATTTTCGAGAAATAGTAGACCAAACGAATGACAGCACATTTACTAGATGCGTTTAGAGCCAGTTGAATGTGATTTACATTAAAAAAAGTAAAATAAAGTAGATAGAGTGATCATTAAAATAAAATAAATTAGGTAGAATAATAGCAGTAACAGAGAACTAAGAAATAAATAATAACGCCAACAAAATAGGAACTAATGAAATAAACATAATCAAAATAAGGTAACGTAAGAAATGAAAAATGAATTAACAACGAAAATTAGTGAAATGTATAAGATAATAAGCCTAATTTTAGACAGAGCTCTGTTTGCGTTAGTTATACGCTGGTCTATTTCCGACCGTCGAGTCATTCATTGAGGTTATTGTGGGGCCGAGGTATTTGATTTTTCACTCTAAGAAACGATTTCCCTTCTACGCAGATCCTGTTATCAGGGTGGAATTTTGGGTTATTATCATATATTTTGTTTATTCTTCATTTACTTGTAGATCGATTAGTTCTGCTTTTCATATCAGAATCTTATCGAGTTCCTCAATACCTTCTTCATTATTTCTAAGATCAACTATATCATCTGCACACCCAAAGATTTTATGATTCATTCCGACATGGATTTCTCTATTTTCATGTCATCTTGTTATCACATTCTCCAGCTCTTAGTAATAGATCGTTAAACATACTAATTTACACCATGTATATAGAGGTAGTATTGATACCTTGTTTGGCTCTCAGGAGCGATGGATTTTGTTAAATGACATTAGTATTGCTCAAATGCGAGACCTAGATGAGTCTTGGTCTCGCAAACTCAGTTTTGGTCATGGTCTTGGTTTTCCGCAAGAATCTCGCAAGAGTTCTTGCAGTTACTTATTAGCTTATTACTTTCGAGATATTACTGTAATTTTTTAGATCGGAGAAACCTAACTAAACCCAAATGAAAAAATAAAATAGTTAAATGCAAAAACATATTGGTTAACCAATTCTTGACATATAGTAACTAAGATTGTCAAGTATTAGTAACTATTTCGCCTTAATTTTTATTTTGAAAATCAATCTTTTTTACCAGTTCTAGTCTTTGACTGATCTTGGCAAAGTGCAAGCCAAGACCGATTTTGGGCAAAAGTAAACGAGATATCAAATGAAACATAATTTTATAAAGAAATGACATACGCCAAATTTAAAAACTTAAAACTATGTTAAAACTACAATAAAAGTCATTGAGAAAACTGGCAGTTTTTCTACAGATTTTGGAGCTTTAGCTCCAGGGCTGTAGGTGAATTTACAAAGTCACTGTCTAAATTTTAAAAAATAGTTTCTCATTTCTTTATAGTGTAATTACTATTTTCAAATGAATTTTTTATAAATCTGTTTCATTTTTATTCTAGGGTATAAACATGGAACGAAGAAAGGATCGAAATATCACATATATAGTT